TCAATTTGTTACCCGTTGTTATTCATAGTAATCCTATTTTTTACAACCACTTATACATTCACAAATGATTGATTGGTCAGCCACTCTCAACCAAGCCAGCAATTTACCGAGACAACTTTATTACCGATCTATTTGCCGTAAATGTGCAATTAGATTTATGACTCAACTTGGTTAGACCAACAGTGGGCGAATGTTTCGTTTACGGACAGTAGTTAGGCCGGGAACAACGGAATAGGAGTCAGAAATGCAAACGTTGTGTGCATCAATCAACTTTGACTTATTTATAATGGCATTTCTCTATGATCTTGTTAGTGAGGTGTTCGCCACGACTTTCGAGTCGGCTATAATCGTTTATCACGTTTAATGTAATAACAATACGTGTAGGTGTTTCCGTCTGATCGCGGAGCCTCATTATTTATCCAATTTATGTAATAGGTTATAGATGTGGGTGCTCAGTGTGCTAGGCACCGTTCAGTCTGGAGGTGCGGCCTTGTGCCGCAACAGCTGTCGGTCGACGGCGGTCGGCCCGTACACTAATACCGAACATTATATTGTAAGCCACCGATATTATTGAACCACATTACTCGGTAAGAAACTCGCAATAAAGCGGGCTTTACACAGATACAGACTGCTATAAATTCAGATAATGTTAGTGATATTAGTTGCAGGTATCTAGCAATATCATGCTTCGGCTAAGTTATTTCCAAGAATAAAATTATAAACATGTCGGTAACACAAAGTGGACGCAGACTGCTCAAAGACAGAATATAGTTATTTTTTATTAAGATTTATATTTAAAAAAGAAATCGTGTCTGCGGTATTCAGCAGGGCGGTCTTTGTGCGCTCTCGTCTAGCTGTCACACAACAATGCGCCGGCGCAGCCTTGAACCTGCGTCGGCCGTCGCTCTCTTACGCGACATTGTGCCAAATGTAATTAAATATATGTTATTATATATATAATTGTATGTATCATAATTATTGACGAAGCTAGTTATTTTTTCCGAGACTGATGTCTTTTTTATCTGGATAGGATCCAAAGCAAAGTGACACAGAATTTTCTCAGAATTATTCCCATAGTTAATTTAATTGCTCACTAAATAAATATTACTGCGCTGAAACGTATCTATTGCCAGTTATTAAAAATAAGAATAAAAACTCGGGCCTAAACCTACAGTTTTTAATAAATTTACTTTATTTAAATTCGATGAAGCAAAACATTTTTGTAGAAGATAAAAAATATTCCTGCTTACGAATATGTACTACTACCTATAAAGTGGATGTCTAGTCATCATGATTTTAATTTAATAAAAGGTAAGTGAATTTTTATTTTGTGCTTAAAATCTGGGTATTATGTGTTCTTAACAATGGCAAAACATACAGACGTACTATTTTTTGTTGGTCACGCACTTTTTTTATGAATAAGAGTCCCGTGCGTCTATTGAAACTGGTCGGTGGAAATGTATATGTGATTATTCGTATATGTATATCAATAAAAGTGAAAAACAATACTGATTAAATAAAATACAGTTACGATCAGTTTGCTTGAGTACAATTTTCTTCAAGGTAATTTCTTCAATCGAAGGCCGTCGAACTTTTCGATTGGAACTAGCAACCCTTCATAATAATTTTCAAAGCAAGTAGGTCAGCTTATGCAAGAAGTTAATAAATAAAATCTTAATTGACACTGGCAACACTGTTATTTAGGAATAGATTATGTATCTATAGGTACTCGTGTCTATGGTTCATTTAAAATTGTTTATTTTAGATAGTATAATACTGTTTGATACTAAATTTATGTGCGGTACTTAAATAGATAAGGTTCATTCAACAAAATTATGTGTCCTATTAACCCAATATCCGTTTCCTATCTAAGAAGTTAATTCAAATATTGTTTATAACTTTGTCAAACATTTATCTACATTCCTATTAATACTTACTTTAATACGAAACAATCTGTCGTCTATTATATAGTTTCTCGTTCTTAGAAAAAGAAAATCGTGTAGGAAAAGTTTTTGAGATTTCTTTTTTGATGACAAATACAAAAAGAATGAAAATACGCTAAATATTAATTAGAAATTAGTACTAACTAGCGACTCGCCCCGGCTTTGCGCGGGTGCAATTGTGATGCTCAATATCTCAGCTACTTAATGGATGTTATTATGCATAAACCTTCCTCTTCAATCACTCTCTCTATTAAAAAACCGCATCAACATCCGTTGTGTAGTTTCAAAGATCACACAATCATAGGGACAGAGATTGTGGCTTTGTTTTACATTATGCAGTGATAATCCAAACTAATATTATAAATGCGAAAGTATCTCTGTCTCTCTGTCTGTCTGTCTTTTCTTCACGCCTAAACTACTGAACCTATTTGTGTGTTTGGTACAGACATAGTTTGACACTCGACAATCAAAAATCTGCAGGATGTCACTTTTTCACGCGAACAAAGTCGCGGGCAAAAGCTAGTACAAAATTAATGTTTATAAATTATAATAAATAATAAATTAATTATTATATAAATGAAGATACAGTCAACCTGTTATTTCAAACTTAAATCCCAATCAGACTTCACAATTCAAATTCAGGTGCTGAACTAAAACGCAATAAAACAACTACCTTATCTAGTCACATCCTGTTATTAAACCAAACATAAATTTCTCTTAATTTCAGCGAATATTAAGTTCTATTTGTACTCTAGTATTATGTTTATAATCGTATAAATGTGTTGGCATACCTCAACAGACTGGAGGACACTTTTTACGCGTGTATATTGACTGGCGTAGTGTTGGACTGTTTCCAAGTAACACGGTTGAAATACCTCAGCTTCGCCATGTAATATTTATTTACATTCGACAATCTAGTTACAATAGTTACCTATATTATTTAGACTATAGGTCTGTATGCGTTCATTAACACTAACTATATCTTGCGTCATTTATTGTGTCAATGCGTCTTGTATTTGATTTATCTAAATTAGGAATGTTGACAGACCCTATTTATAGCAGAATCTTGTTATAAATATTTAACAGATGGTTAAACTGTATATTCGTTGTCAGATGTAATAAGTGCATTCGCTTATCCAAATCCAAATTAATATTATAAATGCGAAAGTAACTCTGTCTGTCTGTCTTTTCTTCACGTTTGAACTACTGAACCGATTTCTGTGTAATTTGGTAGACATAGTTTGGTAGTTACATAGAATAGTTTTTATACCAAAAATCTACAGGAAGTCACTATTCTACGCGAACGCAGACGCGGACAAAAGGTAGTTCTACATATTTAGTACTTAGTTGTTGTTTTAAACTTCCATCATTGCTGCGATTTCTGTATGGGAAGAAATACAGCTGGCGGTAATGGCTTCTAGTAATAACTGTTAGGTTGATAGTTAACGTAAATCATTTGTACTCGTACTGTATACGTACGTATAGACGTGTCCAGTTCCTTAGTAAAACTTTCCTATGTTTTATTGTATTTAGTACACTAATACAATAAAAAGTAAACTACCGATTTTACCCGCGTATAAAAGTAATGTATTCCGGAATTCTATAAACCGCAGTGTTAGCTCTTTCTCTAAAATACGCAAATTAAATATAATTTATAGCCTACAGCAGAACTGAGGAATACTGTTGCTATCTATCAGTGAAAGAATTATGGAAATCCGACCAGCGCTTCCAAAAATTATCCCTATGTACAACTTACAAATTTTTAGATAATATTTTTGCTTGTGAGATGATCTGATCTATTCTATAAACACGTAAAATAAATGTGTACCCACATGAAAAGGATAAAGACATGGTATTCTCGAGTAGCCACGACACTTATAATTGTTCTTTATAGTTAGTTAATAGAGGGAGTGATTAAAGCGAGTGTTTCGGATGCTGTTAACTGGAGTGTACCCTCATCACAAGCGACACCTGTCACACGACCTCACGACCTCACTCCACGACAATTTACCTTTGACCTCATATTAAATAGTAATTGGAAATGAAGCACTACTCCACTGCCTTTGGTGTTTCGAATTTCTTTAGCAACATGTATTATCTATATCTAGCACAAAAGCTCTTTTAATATTTTTCTTTATATTGATCGTAATCAAATTAAACTCTATTGATATTGTACTCGTAGCTTAAAGATATGTTTCAATGATTTGCGACGCCATAATTATACCTATATCAAATAATAATTGTACAAACCAATAAGACTGGTTGTAAAAGATAATTAAATTCATGTTCGGGGCCAACGCTTTGGAAATATTGCTTTCGGTCCAACAACGAGAAATAGATAGGTAGGTACTTGAATAACAGCCGAAATTGAGCTCTATAAATCCACAGCCTTTTCGTCTAATCATTTATTTGAATAATTTTCGTTTCTCGAGTATTTCCGAGGAGGGTTAATTCAGTACATAATTACGTATGAAACGGATCTAATCAACCATTTCGGGGTCGCTGCGTCATCATTACGTTCTATGGTTTCACACGTAAGGTATTACTTGTACCCCTTTGCTTTTGTAAAAGGGTTGGGTGCGTAATTTTCCCGACACGGTTTTATAAGATTTACTTACAAGGCCGGTAGTTTATACCCATGTACATATCTAAATATTTAGGCAAAATTTCTGTCCTTTTTTTAGGTTCGAGGACGGCAAACGAGCAGACAGATTACCTAATGATAAGCAATCAGGGTCGCCCATGGACGGTTGTCCATGCAACAATGCAACAACGAAGAATTTACATGTGCGTTGCCAACCTTTTAAGGATTAGGGTTTTGACGATTTTGGGATTGCGGGAGAGGAAAGATTGGGAATTCGGTTACCTCACTCACACGAACACAACACAACCCTACGCTATGGTTGTTTCAAGCCGGTTTTCTGTGAGGTCGTGGTATTAGTCCGGTCGATCCGAAGTATGGCTTTCCCACACTAAAAATCATGCCAGTGTTAAGAATTACAGAATATTTCGATGTTGTATTCTTCAAGGTCATACAGTAAGAATGTTTATTTTCAGGTCAAATATGCGGCGGACAGTGTTGCGGCAGGGGACGCGAGTTGCAGGTGCAAGCCGCACTGCGGCGAGCTGCCGAGGTCAGCACCACTGGGCCTATACAGAGGACTGGGAATCTACTGCTCAGCACCAAACGGTCTTTACAAGGTATACTGTTGTATATGTTATTTATTTTAACCAAACGTTGCTTTCGTGCTCCATATTTACTTGCATATAGAATTTAATTAAGAGTTATACGATAGAAGACAAAAATTTTGAAATGGTTGGCTACCAAGGATGACAAAAAGGAGTAATATATTAATACTGAAAGTGAAATTTTTAAGGGATTTTAACCTCCATTGGTCAAAGACTAATAAGAAACTTACGCACTCACTTTTTCTACACATTTCTCGACCGCGAGGAAGCAACTTGTAAAGGAATCGCGAATGAATGAGATCTTAAGCCGGCTCTTACTACACCCGTCTAAATTCAAAGTACGCAGATTAAAGGAACGGCCTGGATATGCTCCGTTTGCTTAGCAAATCATCAATATTGAACGTCCATCCTGAGATCAAAGTGACTATCTCAAGTCTACAGCGCATCTTCATTGTATCGTTTCCATCAACTTGATTGCGAGGATTTCAAGGAGCTTTGCAATAACTAGATAACTGTAATAGACAATGTTAACTACCTATGTTAAAATATGGAATGTAGAGTAACGATGCTTACAGATATTGGTTCAGAAATAAACCTTAATTAACAACAATTTAAAGTGTGGAAGAGCCATGCTTCGGCATGAATGGGCTAGCTCTACTGAAAGTTATACCATAGCCTCACAGAAAACTAGCTTGAAGCAATATTTAAGTTGGGTTTCACCGTGTAAGTGAGCTTAAAGGAGACCCATTTTTCCCCCCATTTAACTCTCAAATCCATAGGAGATTCGAAAATCTCTAATAACCTACAAACAACACTACTAGTAACTCCTTTAGTATTACTAGTGTCCATGGGGGGCGTTGATTGCTTACCACCAGGTTATCAGTCTGCTCTTTTTCCGACTTATGATATAAAAAGTCATTAATTACCTCTTGCGAAGTAAAACTTAATTTCTGAACCCTGTAATTGTTATGAAAATACCTAGTATTGAACAGATACTAGCTACCTACGTAAATATGTAGTGTTACGCCCCAAGCTTCACTCATCTACTTCATACCTCCGGGTAGCATTCATTGTGACGTTTACCAATACCATAATAGAACCAATAACCGATTCATTCATACGTTCCTCTCATAACATATTCATGAAAGAACCTCTAAAAATAGCACACATGCATTCATTTATAAATTGTTAACGTGCATTATACAATAAACACTATCTGTAGCTTCATTGTATTGTCGTTATAAAGGGAGACGTTATTGAAAGACGTGAGGGCGTAGATATGTTTATTATGTCAAGCCAAAGATCATCCGATTACAGTAAGCAGATGCGGCATATCGTGCGGCACAAACAGAGCCTACCGCAACCCGCACGATGCACTTACAACAATAAATATGAGAAAGTATAGGCCGGTCCGCGTGTTACTCGAACTAACAATGCTTGTTTAACAAACGTTCCCAACGGCCGACAAATTGGGCACTCTGTGTACACCGACCCCTACACGCTGCTAACACGACCCTCATAAGAGTAAATGTGATACACTCGTTCTTACATACAATTCCTCGCAAATTATACCTTGATATCAATATTGATATTAGCCAATATCAATCATAATAACGTCAAAGTGTTATTTTGCTATACGCTCCACCACTTCTTTTGCCTCCGGACATTCATCTTAAAACTCGTTTTTGCAATTACTCGAACTAGATGTAACTACTCATAATTAAAAGTTAGCTTCAGATAAATAATATTTGAACATCATGTGTTAAATTAAAAACAAAGATTTATGGCGTATAATTGAAATCGTAAAAATGTACATGATATGCGTCGCAACATTATTTTTAATAAAAAGTAATGGCTGATGCTATTAGTTAAGCAGTCGTCATTATCGGGAATATTGCATTATATACTTTTTTTATTGATCTATTAAAAAATATACTTGGCATATATTAAGAACTGGCAATAAAGACGTCACTTCAAATATCGAATTAATATTCATAGAAAAACCTACAATTTTCTCGCACATTGGGCACAGATGTTGGAAAAAGCTTAGGTACTTTAGACTTTTTCTGTCTTTACTTGTTCTAGCAGGCAGGCTAAAGCAATTTCGCTTGGAGAACTAAGTTTTCACATAACATATAGGTATATATATATTTTCTTGTTTTAGCACGTTCATACTTAGTTAGTATAATTATTAATATTTGTGAAAATATTTACTAACTGAAAAAGTTGGTTGTAGTGTTTTACATTTTTTCTTTAATTGTGCAAGGAAACTTTAGTTACATAAAACTAGTTATACGAATAAAACTGAAGGGTTTTTCTAGTAGGTCCTCATACAGTGCGCTGACCGCACGTAGGCCTACGGTGCGTGTTAACATCGCTAACGAGCGAGAGACAGTAAACATTGATAATGAGCTGTTTAAAGAAGGCTTTATATTTAAGTATTATTAATATTTTACTTATATTATTGAAAGTTCGTTAGGATCTATGGATGTGTGTTTGTTTGTTATTCTTTTAAGCAAAAACGCATGGACTGATCAGGTTGAAGTTTAGTATGAAGAAAAGTGATACCATGGATTAACACAGGCTACTTTTTGTCCACCACACCGGCGAAACTGCGGATGGCCGCTAGTACCTAAATACTTTAAATATAACATACCTGCTAAGATATGCCTAATTTGAATAGTAATTATCGTGGGGCATACGAAATGTATTAAACATAAGAATAGCAATAAAAAAATATATAAGGTTCCCGTTATGACTTGAAACTAGTAGAGCTTTTCTCAGTTCATTCGCGTAAGCACTTTAGTTGTTATTTTCAATAAAATATAACAAAAAGTTCAAAAAAACTACGCAATATTAACGTTGTCAAAGAACAATTTCTTAATGAAAAATGCAGTAAGTGGATCCTAATATGAATCAAATTGTCAAGACAATACATGCAATTATAGTCTTAAAAGGAATCGTATTTACAAACTATCATTCCCTGCATTATTAAATGCAATCAATGTCTATATTCGTTTGTTGAATCGGAGACACGTTTGGCCTTTCGCAAAATTGATAAACCTGTGTTTTCTAGTAAATGTCACACGACTTTATTACAACGATCGTAAATAAATTGAGTATCCATATAAGGTTTGTAAAATGCTTAGAAATATCACTAGGTTTGGTCGGCTCGTGACCTGCTGGCTGATTAACGATCAGTTTCTAGACATACGCTTTCCACTAGTAATAAAAGTACTGTAATTAAGACCAGTACATAGTTATTAGAGAAGTGAAAATACGGTGTTAAGTATAAACGAGATGTAAGTAAATAAATAATCTAGAGAGTAGATACATTCGTAAGTATAATGTTTTAAACAGTCGTAACTAGCGGTTCAGAATCACAGCGTCGCTATATCTAGTGCCAAGCATTGACTAAACCTCAATCTCTGTTTAACACGCAAACGAGCATAATATATGGCTTGAGCAAGCAACATTCAAACAAAAGCAATATCAGCCAACGTTAGTGGCATGGCATGCAATCAAACATTCTGTATACTTTGTTGCCATCTGCGAATAACTACTCTGACCTTTTGAAACTATCTTCTTTATCAGCTTATAACTCCCTAATGCTGAGCAAAGGCCTCTTCTCACACGGAGAAAGTTTGAGCATTAATCACCAGGCTTGCAAATAAATAAATGATTTATGATTTTATTATTTGCTCCAGGTGGATTGGTGATTTGAAACTTAGAATCATAAGTTTAGTTTTTCTTATGATGTATTTCGTAACCGTTTGTCATATCACATTATACATAATCTTAGAAAAGTCACATTGGTACTAGTCAGGTTTCGAACCCTCGAAGTCACAACTTAAAAAACATGGCTTCAACCACCGAGCCACCACGAAACTATTATTATATAGGTAAAAGCTTATTTTCCTGCGAGTACTCTCTGAAGATTCCCATCAACACGAGTGGTGTGCTATTATCTATAAAAAATATATTATCGGGTGCGTCGACCTCGCGACTAACAAGTATAAAACAATGAGCTCCAACCCCCTGCTCCTGAGAGGAAATAATCAGAGTGTGCTTCACGCGAAGGGTTCCCTTTTATACTATTGTTCAGCGAATGCCTAAGGGTCCCCGAGACCACACGCACGGACCCTCATTAGAGCACTAAAATAATTTACCTTTGTGCTTTATGAACGTACCGCACATTTACGTTAATACACACAATTTAATATTAATAGAGTTCTCATTAACAGCTCTCGTGTCCTCGCCTTTATAATGTTATATTCTTCAAAAGTGAATTTCATTTGCAACGTTGTTCAGTAGATTTTCTCTGCGGTTGACCAAAACTTTGATGCTAAGTGTAAATATACAAGGTCCTAAACCAAACTTTAAACATACATATACTATACAATGCTTGAACTTTTCTATGTGTAAATATATATTTATTTAGAGTAAACCTTTTACCGCTAGTTTACATGCAACGATGGTCCCATTTATCCAGTTTTGTGTTCGGCTACGTGGGCCGGGCTGCCTCCATACATAACCACTGGCAGGATATAATCCGCACAAACGCTATGAAATTTCCTTAAACGTATTTTCTATAGCGTGCACACCTTAGATTTATGGGGTATGAAGATTCTATCTGCCAAACTATATGAAGCATATAACTCGACGACGCAAAGTGGATTTTCTTGGGTAAACTTTATTAAATCCTTATATATTTTAGATGAGTCTTTACAAACACATTTTAAGACTCCGAAACTATATACAGTACTGCAAGCTCGGTGTTTTAACTAAATTAATGGCGATAAAAGAAGGTTATATATTTTCCTTAGCGAGCTCCTAGACTCGTTTATATTCACTTTCCTCGTCTCAATCCTGTCCAAATTACCGTCGTCCTGATCCTAGTACTATATATAGTTCAGTCTTAGTGTTCACGAGATAAAATTTCTTAAAATATAAAAAAAACTCAGCTTTAGCTCGACGGAGTTCATTTGTTAAAACAACCTCTGTAGAATTTGCATAACTAAGTAATTAGTCCACTCTCCACAGACTATTCACAGTCTGAGCTGGTACACTGTAATGCAATTTATGATTCTTTAACTAAATGACTTTTAAATGTGAGTGGGATTGAGCGTTAAAAGCGCGGCTGTTGAAAAATGTCATGATTTTGATGAAAGCGCGTTAATTGCAAAAGGCGCTTAGCTCGTTGATTAGGTCAGCTTTATTTACATTAGATTTTGAAATGTACCGACGAGAGGCATCATGAATAAAACATTTCTCTCTTAGGGTTGCTACACTTATATTTTATTTTACAACCAAAATTTTACGTTTTAATCAAAACGCATGTAATTTTATGTAAATTTTTGTATTTCAATTAGAAGTCTAATTTTATGTGGCTGTTGTAAATAAAAACGCGTTGTATTTTCATTGAGAGTCACAAAAAATATTTCATTAAGTACTCGTATATATGAATATCATATGTTGCCTTTCTCCAATATAAAATTGTAAATTACGTAGTAGTGAAAAGTGGCCGCGTTAAATGTAGCCAGTCGGTGGGCGCTGTTAAGGGCGTCTGGAGGTCTCCCTCAGAAAAGACGAATGACACTTATTATTTATTGAGCTACCGTCGCACCACTGTAAAATAATGATATCCAGAACATCAATTTCGTTCAAGTTTTTTTTTTATAAGACTGACTTGTCTATATTTCGTCATTTCAGAGCGTTACGTGACTTTTTTCTTAGTCTAATAATTTTTTATTGGTTTACAAGTAATCAACAAAATATTGATATTGAATAAATTGTTGAAATAGATATTTAGCTTCAGCTGTTTAACACAATAAAAGTTTTTTTTGAGGTGGGAAATCATCAAATGACTTCTCTCGCCCAGTGTGAGGCGTTAGGTTAGGTAACAGACTCTTACTGACTAAAATATTACCCTGTTCCTGTTCCTGCACCAGGCCGAGGCTGCAGTACCTTATTGCGCTTGCCACGCAACCTTCTGAACATCGGCCCTGTTAGGCCCCATTGGCAGAAAGTGCAATAGAGTTTTCCACTGTTCTTCTAAAATCTACATCTGTAATCTATTCGTAAATAGAATTTTAATTTATGTAGGTTTGCTCCTAAGTTTTACGACTATATCGAACTATGGCTGTGAGAACCTTCTGCCTTAAGTCTGTTGGACGCGAACTTTCCGGATTTTCCACCACGAAACACTGAATGAAGGGATTTACTGTGAAAGTACTGGAAACTTTCATCAATCCCCCCCATTGTGCAGGTGGAAATCGCGAGGGTTACTTTAATGTACTGTCTCTAATGGCAGCGCGAACTGATCAAAAGGTATCTGAAAACTCATGCCTGCGAGGCAACTTTTTCCCTTATATCTTATACTGTCATATCATTCATTATATGTATTTGTTTTGGTAAATGCTATCCCTTAGTTTTGGATTAAAATATGATAAAGTAGATGAACACCAATTTTTTAAGTCAACAGGATTTAATCAGTGATGTAAGTAATAATTAAACTTGTATATTAAAAACAATTAGTTTCTGAATAACCAAAATTTATTTTCAATGAAATCAAGTAACAGTACAGACAATAGAGGTATTCTTAATAACAAATGAATTCATACTACAAAATATAAATCATGAAACACGGGTTTGGAAGTCATTAAAACAGTAATTTAGCTCAAACAGTAAGAACAGTGCCCACTTTACTCCTACATACAGAATATGACATAACAGCCTCCTAAAATTAAACCATGCGACATTTAACTCGACGCATAATCCTCGGAGATTTATAACTAGAATCATAATGAATCCTTCGAGCGTACGGTTCACAGGTATATTCGAGAACACGGCAAATGGCGCCGACTAAAAAGCTTTTCGTCAAGCTTCGCAGATCAAAGGAGCTTTCATCCTTCGTATAAACATAGGCTTTCCTCAGTTTAAACACACAACCACGTCCATGTACCTACTTGTAGTAGCATAACGATACAGAATGTTATTTAATTAAAAAATGCATATCTTTCCCTTATCGGTGTTTGGAGGATAATGCCGACTTTGAGTACTTGAATTATATGAGTGTATGTGTTGGGTGGACCATGGAATGCGTCAAGGCGTTGATCCCGCGCCTCGGCCCTGCATTCCGAGATAACGTTAGATGCTCTCACTTATAATACCAGAGCAGGTGCCACAAACTATGAAGCCAAATACTCAGGGGATGTTTGCGCAACTAAACGTATTTACAGAGGCTCTGTTTGTTAACATTACGTCTAATTTATTGTACACAAATGTTTCGTAACTACATGTATCCAAATTTTGGCAAGACACGTGTAAATATTCCCTTGGAGGTTTCACTTGCGCTGTTATGATATGGAGTTTAGTTGATTACAGAACTTGCTCCTGCCGATCATTCCTTAATTACTTTATAATTGGAGCAGAGTAATCTTGTAACTGTGTAATGTTTCAATCTTAATAAATATTTACTCAGCTTACGTATCAAGTGTACATTATGAAATATTAAGCTTTGTGAATGAATGAATTAATAAGTATTTTGTTTTCCTTAGATCACCTCACGGGATTATCGCATCTGTCACAGAACAAGACAGCTACTCTGTTCACGCAGCTGTACCGGGGTCATGCGATGCGGACGGTCAAACCTTTAGCGAACCTTTACGACGACATCCGACTTATTTTACGGTCCGAAGGGGATCTTACGAGCGAAGGTCTCAGTGCTGGCCCACCGAAGGACTTGTCCGTTACCACGAAGAAGTTCTTTAGAGAGTTGTTCCCTGTCGCCTACCACAATGTCCTCAAGCTGGATGCGAAGCAGTTCACGCCTGAGTATGAAATATGTCTCAAGGACGCGTATGACGCAGTCCAACCATTTGGAGATGTGCCACAACAGGTAAATAATAATATTCGCTTATCATTAGCATTTGTTTATCATAACTCACCTCTCATGTAATTAAAAAAAAGAAGCTTGTTTATTAAAATGCTTACAAGCTACGAGCGGCGTACAGAAATGCTAAAAGTGTCGGGAAAATTAAACATTTCTTAGCAGTTTTAAGAGGCACGCGACGTAGGTTTCGGTCATTAAAAGTAATGGTGCATTATACATTGGAGTTGACTGCTGGCACGCGGCTTAATTGGGTCTACCTGGAGATTATCTGAATTAAAATACTCCATACAGTGTCAGGCTCACACTGCGGATCATAACTCACGTTTAGGCCTTAAAAGTAACGTATTTTTGTTAATAAAGCAGGTCACACTCTTTTGTTAACTTTAATGTTATATTCGAACAGTTTTAAGGCTGTGCTGTAACTTCTGTACCATGGCAAGTTAGATTTATTTACTTACAACGCAACCATTACTAAAAGCCATCAGTCATGATATAGCAAAGTGTTTCAAAACATAATTATTAAGATCAACAAAGCAGTGAAGCCCTAGTCAAATGCCTTTCTGTTAGAGATTGTAAATATTTAACGATAAGAGCCCTGTATAGGCTCGTCAGTAGGTCTCGATGTCACAATGAAGCATCCTTTGAGGTTGTATGTAGATTGTGGCACAAAGCTTCAGTGTGCACTGCATAATGAATACTATTGCAGAATAGCTCTGTTGTGCAGTCACGAAATGTTGCAGTTAGATACACGCATTTACATAAAACAATATAATGACTTGGAAATTACAAAATTGTACACAATTTTACTTAACACAGGAGGTACATAATGTTTACCTATAAAAGAACTACAAAGTCCTTGCATTGTTTTCTGAATTAAGGTGAAAACATTTTTCAAACCAAATCCCTCAATCACTGCGCTAAGCCAATTTTATCGTGGAAAGTCCTAGAGTTAGTAAACTAATTAAATATTAAAAGGTAGCGGTATTGCGGTGGAAAATAAATGTAAACCAATATAAAACTGGGAGTGTGAAAGTGCGATAAACGCGAGCTTCACATACGTGACTAAATCTTATTCAAAGTTCAGAGATTTTCGCGCTTTTTTAAAATAACGTGTATATTAAAATGGCGGCGGCTTAGCGCGTCTTACAGCGCTGCGCTGCCCTGGTGGCCAGCTCGTAAAGCATTAAATTGGATTTATTTCAATGTAGCTGTCGCTCGTCGACGCCATAATAAATCATTTCCTACTTATTTTAACAAGTTTGTCGGTAAAAGTTGTTTGATATTTAAAGCTTTTCCATCACTTTTGTAGGAAGCTACACGATTTTGATTGAATTATTTGATTTATTATAATTTATTCATTAGTTGTTCAAAAAGCTGTCAGTTGTTAAGCGTTCCTTAATGCCCATGGGTAATAAAACTGAAACTGGTAATTAATCTGTTTGTCTATAGCTTGGTACATCGCTATCTCGGTCGCTGGAGGCGGCCCGGGCGTTGCTGCAAATGCTAGCAGTGGGGGCTGATACTCTGTCGGCAGCTGAGCGCGTGCTGGCCAGCGGAGCTGACAACTGCGCTGAAAGACTGCTGAGGACCGGTGGCTGCTCGCGCTGCCACGGCCATGAAGCAAGACCTTGCAGAAACTACTGTCTTAATGTTGCCCGAGGGTGAGTATTCCATCAAGTGTACCTATATTTTAATCTCAATTAATATATATTTTTAAACGGTCTTTTTAGTATTACATAATTACAGTGAGATATACAAAAAATATTGAAAATCACGTACTAAAGTGAATTAACTAAGAAAAGCTCTACTAGTTTCAAGTCACAACGGGACTATTCTTGAGCAGTGTGCGCGTCGCCACCTATCTGATATTAATAAGTTATATTTCTAATAACAAGTTTGAAAATCGCCAATCCTTGTGCAAGCGTAAAGATCAATGTTCAAACCTTCTCCATGTGAGAAGATACCTTTGCTCAGCTGTGGGCATTTATAGGCTGATGATGATGATATCCTCTGATATTTGAAAAACAATATTTATCTTAAGCAACATATCTTCAATGTTGACGTATTCTAAACGTACACGCGAGTAGGGTGGACTGTAAATGCCATTTCCCATTCTCAATTACCTTCGTTTGTGAAGTTTCCACCCCCATTCCGATTCGTCTAGCCATGTCCAGTCTATTACATTAGTTCACCCTTGCTCGTCTCGTTTCGTCTCGCTTCACTTTAACATCGGGTCCTCACAGAATTTGATTCCAAGAATAATACAACGTGTCCCTTTGTGTTTTTGATCAAAAAGTATATGTACCAATTCTAGAAAAATGTTTACATAGGTACATTAATGTTTTGTCTTTTGCCTAAGCATATAAGCTTGACAAATTGTTAAATGAACTCCGTAAACACAAACGCAAACAACCGGCGTGAAACAACCACAACGTTGTGTTTTTCCGTGTGATCAAGGTTACCGGAGGCCTCATCCTTCCCCTCCCCCAATCCCTAAATCACCTAAAAACCTTAATCCTCAAAAGGTCGGCAACGCACTCGTAACTCTTCCGTTGTTGCGGTTGTCCATGGGCGGCGCTGATTGCTTACCATCAGGTAATCCGTCTGCTCGATTGCCTAACTAACACAAAAAAAAAACGTTGAAAAATCTTTGTACATCTTTAAGACAAGCTGTTGGAAATATAGGCATAGATTAATACGTAACTTAAAACGTTTTATTATTGTATGACCTATGATCTATCTAATATCATACTACTGTGCATGCCTATTCTAAAGGAATGAAACATAGACTCTTCTAAAAGAAAATTCCATGTAGGACCAAATTTAGCACAGAGTGTCTCTCCATAATAATGTTGCGTTGGAACTTTAAACGCTGAAACTGCTTCAGAATGTTAGGGGTCTGATCGCCTGGCATGGCAAGATCGCGTGCTATTGTCAATAAGAAATATAGTGGGAATGCGCGAATGGTGTCGCTTGCAATAGGAATTGCTATTGCAAACGGAAGCTAAGAGTTGCCAAGAATTTTCCGCTTAGAAATAACTATATCGAGTAGAGAGGTAGGTTTTTCTAGTAAAATAAAACCTCCTTAGAGTTAAAAAAGCGACTACGTACCTTTTTTAAATGATCTGTAGGTTATTCTATTTCCAAAACATTTTATTCTCTATAAAAATAAATGCAAATTAATTAAAAAAAAAACGCTTTATTAAAATAATAAACCTACTTTTAAAAAATATTTTTTTTTTCAACAACAACTTTATATTATTCTTATATCGAGCGACAACTTTATGAACTGTCTATTGAAATCTAAATAAAAGGTACGTTACAAGTAAACACTTCACTAATTAAATTCGTTAACTTCTGCCAAAAAAAGAGATTTTAACTTTAACGAGTACCGAAACTCGTGAGAGAACTCAACAATCAAATGAGGCTGGGACCCATTCAAAAGTATGCCACAATCCGCGATCACTTTGCAAATACCCACTGAGAAACTTTCAAAACGAAAGAGCAATTTTTGGCACTTTTATCAAGTTTTTAATCCGATATCAATCCGATTATGTTGTGGGAGGGCTCTGCTTCAGCACGAATGGAGATTGATACCAGGGCCTTATCAGGACGTGAAAAAACCACAGCGTTGTGTTTTGCTGTATGAGTGAGGTACAGAAGGCCCAATCCTACAAATCTCTCTTAAGGCCGGCAACGAACTTGCAACTTAATCGGGTTAAAATATCCCGTCGTAAGGAAAACTAATCGTGTGGCCTAAGTCGTGGTGGAGGTTAAGCAGCCTGCTTCTCAAGCGTGTGGGTTCGAAACCTGGCAAGTACCAATCTGACTTTTTCCGAGTTATATGTAATTTATATCATTATTTAGACACCACTGTCATACGGTGAAGGTAAACATCGTGAGGAAACCTGGACTAATAATTTCGAATTATAAGTTTGAAATCGCCAACCCGTATTGAGCAAACGTGGTGATTAAAGCTCTAACCTTCTCCTTATGAGAAGAGGCCCTTGCTCAGCAGTGGGCAGGTATAGGCTGATGATGATAAAGGAAAACTGAATTACTTCCATACAGTTTCAAGAACAATACTATACCTATCGTTCATGCCCATCTAAACTATTAAGGTAATGTTAACTACGCACAATTTACTAACTGAATAACTTAATCTCCAAATTGTACGAAGATTGATGTGTTTATTAGTATCATTAAGTGAACACTTGGTCTTCGTCGAGCTGTAATATATGTCACTATGGAATGTACGTAGGTACCTATTTAAGTGGTGCTTGTACGCTCTGCTCTATTGACTCGAATTGACACTTTGTTGTATGCAATCGACATACCGCATTGTCACGGAACTCTAAGAGCTTTGTGTAGGTTGTCCACTCGTGTCAGTTTATTTTCCCACGTAAGAGTACAACTAAAATGGTCTAAATTAATTTAAATTTAAATTTAGAAATCAATCGTCTGAAGAGATTGTGAATAGCGCAATTATTACCTACAATTACTATAAAACTCTATTTTTTTATTATAACTTTCGTGAGACATTCTAAATTAATTATTACGTGAGTAAGCCGAAAACATAATAATTACTATAAAACTCCTTGCAATCTGTAACAAAAATAAAATAGCTACAAAGGATTAATCGCCTTCTTCTTCTTTTTTTAAATTATAAAAAAGGCATATAAATATGCATATCATTTACATAACTCAACAACGCCTGTACAAATTTAGCTGATTATTTTTTCGTTGTGTTCGTTATTGTAAGGAGAAGGTTTTCACGAAAGAAATGTTTAGAAAAGTGAAGCGGAATGTCGGGTTATAGTAACCCTTTTCTTGTTTATTGTAAGCAAAATAGTAAGATACAAAAGCCAACCAGGGGCAAGCCGCTGGTATCCAAAAGAAGTCAAAATAGCATAATTTGTAGGCGCATTTATTTTATTGCCCACTAAAACACAGTCCAACGTAAAATCTTTACTATGCAGAACAGAATAAATGGCAATTTCGTTTAAAAAATGTCGTATATCAGTTGTGGCGAGATAGGCGAGTAATCAAGGAGAGTAATATACTACCTTAGGCTAGTGTACACTTGTACACGTCGCGTCGCGTCGTGCGTAAATTAATTGCAGCCTGTGTGCACCAGCCTCGTCCGTCTCACCGTCGGCTGCCCTTTCGTATGCCGAGAGTAAGCTTAATTGATTTTGCTACTGGGAATTCGGAGGCAAATTCTAGCCATGAATACTGAAACAATTTCCGTTTTGCCACCTTTGTTCGGCAAAGAAACAAAATGGCGATCCTCTTTAAATAAATCTATAATTATTTCACTTAGTACATAAACATGAAATATTTAACTTAGCACTTAAAAGTGACGTGGTAAGGCTTCTCGCCCGCTTCTCTTGCATGATAAAGCGGGTTCGAAACCAGGCAAGTACTAATGTGCTGATTTTCGAGTTATATGTACTTTCTAAGATTATTTAGACACCACTCACATACAGTGCAGGAAAAAATAACATCGTGAGGAGACCTCGAATTATATTTTTTTATTACAAGTTCGAAATCTCCAATCCGCCTTAAGAAAGCGTGGTGATGAATGCTCAAACCTTCTCAGTGTGAGAAGGGGCATTTGCTGGACAGTAAGTGTTTATAGGCTGATGGCGACTTAAATACATAATCATGTGTGGCGTATAAGTAACGAAAACTAGAACTTTATGAAACAATCGACAAGATGTTGTTACTAAGAATATGTCCTTAAATTAATGATATTTATCTAATATGAATAAAATATCTAAAACAATTTGTACTCGCTTCCCATGGGAACTACTCGTATTCAGAACATCCTTGACAATGTCTCAGTGAGTGCCTGGAACACGACGAGTTTACACACAACGTCTAAGGTCTAATAGTATTATTCGCTCCTTTGTGTACGTTGTCTTTGCTGTGTGAAAATGTATGAGCTCGACACACAGGATTTTAGTTAAATTGAAATCTGTGTCGAGCTAACATTGCCTAGGAATTGAGGACAATCTGCCTTTAGATATTGCATATATAGATTGACAAAGGAGTGTTTTTATTATGGCAAAGTCGCTTAGCTCTATCATTTAAATTCAGCTTAGAGTTCTGTCTTTCTAATGAATCATTTTAAAATATTCATGTAGTGATAGCTATCGTCTATAGCCTACGGCAAGTTCATTTTATTAGTTTTGTGATGTGTTTCAACCCATTAAACGGAACAGTACGACGTTGTATCAAAATAAAATGTAGGTAAACTGTGAAATAGTGGCTCGCGCAATTCTATTAATTTTGATGCAACGATAAAATGATCAAAGCGCATACGAATGTAACTCGCACGTTTGTTTAAAGAGGATCCTGTGCAATCTATAACAAACTTGATCAAAAGGAAACTAAGGATGGCACGGAAAGCATTTCAACTTCCTTACACTGAATGCAGCAACAAAGTGAAACATGGTCAACATTTTACTCTAGCAGACAATTGCGAAACTTCGCACTGAACTCCGTTTCTTCGAACTAAAAAACATAAAAGTTTTTTCATGTTTTACTGCAGTCGCAGACATATATTGCTTTTTATTTCCTTGTCTCTTCAGTGTGGTGGTCAAGTGTCAGTCGAGAATTTGTTCTCAAGGTTTGCTGAATTTGTTCTGATAAATAATTTTTTCAACAGGTGCATCGGTTCTCTGCTGTCGGAGCTGGACGGCCCCTGGGCAGGCTACGTGGAAGGCGTGGAGAGGCTTACCAAGGTAGATGCTGACGTCGCCCTCAGGGAACTGGAGACGAAGGTCTCGAGGGCCATCATGTACGCGCTAGAGAACAGGGCTGTCTCAGAAAATAAGGTAAGATTTTATTTTCTCAAAGCTTACAACTTAATCTGTTTAATCTTCTTTATAAATAGCCAAGACTAAAAACCCAAATACACCGTAAGCCATGTTAATTCAACACATTAAGGCTTAAAAAATATTTACATACAGAAGCAATTTATAAAGATAATCATACCTTGATGAACAGGTCAAACTGATCAACGCCCTCTTTCTAATTGGACAACTTTCGACTTCGCTTCGATATGATAATTTTGTTTATGGTAAAATATGACACTTAATTCACGTCTGAGTATCATTCAGTTTAATTTACCGGAGCACTGGTTGCTTACAGAAAGTCTAAGAAATGTCGATATACTAGCCTCCGCCCGCGGCTTCTCCCGCGTGGTATGTTAAAGAAACGTGGCCTGTGTGCTAATCCCAAACTACATACCATATTTCAACTAAATCGGTCCCGCCGTTTTGGTGTGAAATAATAACAAACATACATACATTCTCAATAACTTTCTCATTTATAATATTAGTAGGATAGTAGGAACACTAACATATGAAAAATCAGGAAATCCTCTCAAAACTTAATCACTCAATCAAATAGAAAATAAATTCCAATTTAACACGGGTACTTGAATAAAATAAAGTTACCGAACGCCCTATACAGTTTGGCAGCTCGCCACACGTGCCCCGAATACCTCTACGAGACATTTCAATTATTCCTTGGTTACTGCTGGTTTCAACTGGAAGTGCTGTCGACGATTTGCATTCATCTATTTACTTACTAAGGCCGCTATTCTACTAGACGTTTTACTAGTGTTGACGCCAACGTCACGTTTGCGCAGCGTCGAGGCCGCGCGGACGCGACGTTAACACCGCGTCGTTCGCTGGACGCGAAGTCAACGCGGTACGAACGATAACGTCGCGTATGTTCGCAACAGGCACAATCACGCCGTCCTGCTCTATCAAATGTAGTCTTCACTTGTTGCAAACGCGACGTTGACTTCGCGTTCAGAAAACTTAAATGCTTCCACTCGACGACGCGGCGTTGAAGTCGCGTCAGCGCGACGTTGACATCAACGCTAGTAAAACGTCTAGTGGGATAGCGGCCTAAACCACGATTTGTAGGAGTATTCAATTGTTTAGTGACACGAAGTCTATTGGTGGAGTGAAGCATCCACATAAACATGTTTAAAAGGTATTACGTGACCATATACAGTTAAAAGCGACGTAGGCCGCTCGGGTCAGTGGTGGGCGCAGGTCGCGAGCCCGGCACCCACAACAAAGAGAAATTGCTTTTACACTAAGAGAACATTTTATCTGCGCATCAAACGCTCAAAGTGACTTGCCTCCCAGCGATCGGCACGCGTCAAAATAAAACCCACTATTGATTAAGTATATTCATTGCTATAAACTGAATTGCCTGTGCTGTACTACCTTCAAACAGTATTAAAAGCTAATTGAATTGATTATTTTTATTGGTGACATAAGTAGGACTAGTAAAGTAGCTTAATTTGACAAAAAAAGACTACATTTTACAATAAGAAATACATACATTCGTCCAATATTACACACAGCTCGTAGCTTTTAGAGCAGTCTAGAATGGTTCATGGTCGTTTATTAGAAATAACGAGACTCATAAAGACTCCCTTTATTTAGCGGCATGCATCCAGAGCGCGTTGAAATATCACATAACATGCGTTTCGCTTTATGAATATTAATATTGCAGAAATATAACTTACGGTTATTGTAGAACGACGCGCGACGGTTTTACATCGCACTTTCATTTACTTTACGTCCCTTTTAATGGCATGCGTAAACAGGATTTTCAACTGTAATGAGAACATTTATAAGTGTCATAATAGCCAAAAAGTACACATAGAACACATCCCGTTGACTCACACATGACCAACACCTCTGAATCTCGTATTTATGTGTGAGCGCACCTCGGATCAAGGACATTGTTTCCGCCTTCCGGCTAAATAGGTTCATCTGTATACAAAACCGCTTCGAGAGATTGAATAACTCATTCCGACCACCAATTTATTTTAAGCGTAACGCAAAAAGGGAAAGAATGTGCTGTGTTTTTTCCTTTGAATATCTTTTGAGTGGAAATATTTCATTTTGTCTCTTTTCCCGTAATCAGCCGTGGCAATATTGGCAATATAGGTAATCTTGTTTCGGTCTCATTCTCCTCGTGTACAAACGGTTGATTCAATAAACTTGTGACAGCTTACGTTTGTATCTCCAAAGTTTATTTGCTGAGACAGTTGATCTATAACATTAACTAGATATGCTATCAAAATTCTAAGCCAGGGATCACTTCATTGTTCTTTTACATGGACTAATAAGCGAGTAAATTAATTCGAGAAAACAACGGAGCTCAGTCAAAGATAGAACAAACATGCACTATCTAGAAAGCGAAATATGTATTTAGAAAATTGTCGTTTTTCCTTTAGAAGTTATAAGTTTTTGTCGTAATACTAGACTACATTAGGAGAGGGGAGAGCTATGCTTCGGCACAAATGGGTCCATTCAACCAAAGTGATACCACGGCCTCACAGAAAACCTGCGTGAAACAGCCACAGCGCTATGTTTAGTCGTGTGAGTGAGGTTACCGGAGCGGAAACCCAATCCTTCCCTTCTCCCAATCCTAAAATCTTTAAATCCCTTATCTCCAAAACCCCTCCGTAATCTGTCAGCTCGATTACCGTCCTATCACATAAAAAATCTTTATTATGATGAATGCCACGAAAAAATATGCAAGGTATTGCTTAGTCCATTGTCTCCAGTTTTAAACAAACTAGCCGTATCTACAAACTGAAATCCTGTTTGATCGTAGACACGAGAAAAAATTAACGACTCAAAATATAACGCATTTAAATTTAACTTTATTACAAAGGCTTTGGTGTTGAATAAAAACTTTTTATTAAACCGAAGCCCGACAGTGTAGCCTAGAGGTTGTTGACTTTCGATATACTACCTAACAACGTAGTCCACTCGCCTTTTAATCAAGCGCAGAATGACTAAGTATTCACAAAACAAAATGGCCGAATAATAAAACTAGAGAATAGTGAAGAAAATGAATAGCGTGTGGTTCTACAGATTTGTACGAAGATAAACAAGTTTATATTAGGTTGTTTGTCTGAAAGAGTCCGTCGGTACATAGAGAGTTGTAGTCGGTAATTTTGTTTTTTTTGGAAATAGTGACTTTCATTATTAACTAACGGCTTGCTCCTGCTTCTCACAGGTATCAAATTATTTTATGCTATTTACCAATAAGGCTTACATTTTTTTTGCGTAAGAACCTTCTCCTCTCTATAACAAACACAATAAAAAGAGACTTGGCCAAATTGGCCCAAGCTTTGTAAAGCTCTTACCAATTCATTTCGCGAATTATTTTTTTTATACGCTTAAGGACATAGGGACATAGCCATAAAAAAATAAGTTTATTGTAGTCATAATCGAAATCATTAGCGGCTGAATAAAATTATCAGTATTATTATAGATTATAGACGTTTGAATTAATTATAAGAATTTCATGGGAATATTATTTCATCTGTGCCATCTACAAAGTCTGTATACTGTATAGTGAGGTCCCACACGAGCAGACATCACGTATCTATGTCAAGACCAGTAATCATCGCCTCTCGGGTTCGCTTCCTACGACTAGTGACTGCAATTTACTTGTTGTACGCTAATCACACAGCTAATCCCTACCCACTGACGAGCAGATAATAACGGGAAATATATACAATTAAATATATGTAGAAAGTTTTTAAATTATGTACTATGTAGGTAACAACTGATGTTTTGAAAGGACGTTTTTCAAACCTTCCACTAAATAGTTTTTATTAGTGTTAATTTCATATATTTAATTTATTACCATGGTCCTCGAAATACTTAACACATGCATTAATCATAGACAAATTTCGTCAAGAATATCCGTCACAACGACTTCGCCAAAACTACCTCAAAAGTTTAATAATTTTTTCAAATCAATTTTTCCGTTATTTGCTCTTCTTAGTTTTAAGTAGAAAATTATTTGGAATCATATAAGTAGAATACTAGCTACTATCGCGCGGTTTCACCCGCTGCTTGAAACTTACAAGTCATACGTGACGTTATATAGCCTATAGCCTTCCTGATTAAATGCATTAACGAAGAAAGCGATTGTTAAATTCAAAACAGGAGTTCCGGACATTAGCGCGTTCAAACAAACAAACAAACTCTAAAGCTTGATAATATTAGTATATGTTAACAATAAACATATTATAAGGCATGTTTTCGACTTTTCGATTCGTATTCCGTGTCTCGTATGAACTCGGCGTGTGTACTATTGAACAGCATCTCATATTCCATCATGAGACGCCGGCGCCCGCCCACGCTCGGTGCGTGCTTTCACCTCGCCACTCGCGAATCGGAGGCGCAATTTATACACGGCAGCGGTAGAAAATTTTCTACAAACTCCTCAAAATCACTTTCTTTGAGAATATTTACTATGTGTAAATATATAGCCGTTTTTGTCAGGAATATCATCAAATGACTTCTCTCCCGCCCAAGGTGAGGCGAGAGGAAGTGTCAAACTCTTACTGATTAAACCCTCCAGTTAGTTCTATTGCTTTAGGCCAAGGCCAAGGTATCTTATTGCGTTTAATATAATATTTAGCCTTATATCAATAGATTATTGAAATAGACAAATAGAAACATCTCTATGGCAAGGTCCTAAGTTAATTTTAAAGTCAATTATGTAAAAACCCAGACATTTACAAAGAAACTTTATTACGACTGCCATACTATAAATAACCAGAGCATTTCTCAATTTGTTAAATAACAAAATCTTGTTAATATATATTAATATATCGCCACATATCACGAAACTCGATAGGTACACCGAAATTTACAACGTTCGAGATAACATGTAACGTATAAACCTATTAATATTAATTTCTCAACGCATTTCCCCGGCGCCTACGCATACGGAGCGGTATGGCACACGATCTTATATAAAATTGTAATAAATTTGT